CTGGGCCCAGCACGCCAGGCCTGCCGTGCTGTTGAGGCTGGAGCTGCTTCTCACATCCCTCAGCCTCTGGGGAAGAGCTGTTGTGGCAGAATTGCGTTAACTTTGAAAAGAGAACTTTGCTTCCTTGTGTAGGTTGTGTTCCTAAGTTAATGATCAAGGAGAGAAAATGATTGCTCTGCTTTCAGCGGATGTTTGCTGCGTGCCTCACCAGCAGGCCAGGAACACAACGCATAATGAAGGCAAGACGGCTCAGTGTAGCTCTCTGTGCAGTGTAGCGCTACTTACTGGTTTCCACATCGTCAGCAGGAGTCATTTCTGGCCTCTGTTTGAAATATCAACGTTGCTTGTCGGCATTGCCATCCTGCCTGTTGTGAGTTAGTCTCAAGCGCAAGAGTGAATGGTTCCCTGACGAGCTTGCCACAAGAACCCAGGCTCAAATTGAACTTCATGAAAAATGCTGCTAGTAGGGTGAGAATAAGAATTGTCCTGAGAAAATAGTCTTGTATTTGAAATCTTACAACTGTTATAAATCCCTGCTTGGTGATGTACTTGTTAGCAAACAATACAAGACATCCTCTTTCTTTTGGATATTGCTTGGTACTTCATGTTCTGGTGACTGCTAAAACTATTATCAGTGGTGCAAATAGCTATTTTTGATACAACTCATGCAAACTTGGCTTTTTGAAATTTAGTTTGGATTCACAGGCTGTCACTGTTGTGTAGCTGGGGCTCTGGCTCCCTAGTAACGTAACACAAATTTAAAATAGCATTATGGCATTTCTGAGCAGTTAATAACTTTTCAGTAAAACCTTACTGGTTCATGAGTGGCTACAAAATTGGCTGTTAACGTTCATCAGTATTTTCCTCCGCTCTTATTGGGAGGACAGTTGTTCTGGGTAGAACTAATCATCTGAAAGGTTGATTATTTGGGCACTTGGAGAAGTTTTACCTTTGAAGTGAAGAGCAACAATGGATAGTGTGATTGGGATGCTGCATTTAAAGCCAGCACAAAATAGAAATCTTTCTAATACCTGGTTTTAAGTTCCAAGTAACAGGGATTTTGCTGGTATAACAACTTTTTTTTTTTTCCCAGTTGTTTATTGGGCAGGGTTCTTTCTTGTTTTCTCTAAAGTAACACACCTGACTGATTACCTACGTGGCACTTACCTACGTGGCGTTGACCCGCCGAATGGGTTTGCACACACACCCCGCACATGCTCATAGGATGCGTTTTATTCCACCTCCAGGTGACTTCTTTCTCTCACTGCAAACATCTCTTTGCTCAAATCTGGCATTTTTGTATTATTCCATGCTTGATTTAGCCCAGACTGCTTTGCCAGAGCGCGTGTTAGGCATGACACGCGTGCCCCATGGCGGCGTGATCTGCTCAGTGGGAGCAGCTGGGCCTGCAGCTGGCAAGCGTGTGCTCCTTTGTAGGGCTCCAGGTGCCAAAAGCTGGCCTACGGGGGGCAAGACAGGGCCAAACCCTCCACCCCAACCTGTGCCCAAGGCACGGGCACCGAGCCCTGCAGCAAAGCCGCGTCTCCCAGCTGCATGGGGCAGCTCGCTCTGGGGACAGCGGCAGTTGAGAGGGCTGACTCTCATCCCTGGCCCCTCTTTCACACCCCAAATTCTTTTGCTTCCTTTGATGATAGTTTTATCATTATGATGATTCGCAGACGCTAAATACAGCTGCTGTCCCGCAGAGGTATGTGACAAGGGAAATTCACAGCTTCTGGTGGCAACGGTGCGTGTACGAGTTTGTGACACGATGGTTTTGCTCTCCCCGTGTTTTTCAGCAGAGGTGCCTTGCTCCAGAGCCCACCTGCTGCTCTTGCATGAAGCTCCCGTGAGACAGAGCTGCAGGCTCTCTTCATTTTGTCAGCTCATGATTTACAAACCAAACCCACTCATCTCCAGTCCTTTCTGCAGGACAACACGCTCTGTTAATGCTAAAGAGAACTAACAAATCCATAAAGTGGAATAATATAAACCCAGTATTAACACTAATTAATATTATTTCTTGGCGACCTATTGTTTTCTAGGCTGAAGACCAAGAATTAGCAGCGGTTTGGTTTTGTTTTCATCATAAACCAGGAGACTCGTCATCGGTTTTCATAAAGGAAAACAAATGGGCCCCTGAATGTCTGAAATGTTTCTTTGCAAAACTAGATGTTGAGTAGTGCATTAAGGATTTGCAGTAGTCAGCGGCTTTGAACTTCACTACTATCAGCACGTTGCGATCTTGCTTTTTTTGTGTGTTTCTTAGAGGTGAATGGAAAACGTGCTGTGTTTTTAGTGCCATAATCTTTCTGGCAGCAACTATTTGTCAGCCTAATACTCTCACTGGCTGTTGCTCTGAACACTGTAGCTCATCTGTCATAGTCCTTTAACAATTTGTCTGTTCCAAGGCTGTTCAAAAGTGCTTATTTTTTTTCAGACTCCCAAGAGACCATCTGTGTAGTTAAACTTTTCCTCCAGAAACCAAATAAATTTCAGTCCAGAGAAAGAAATAAAGGTACAGAATGTGTATCGAATCAGTGGGGAAAGTGCCTGCTTTCTGGCAGTGAATGTTTCTGCTGGAGTATTTGCACTAGATTATAATGAAGCTTTGGTTAAGCAGATTAAATAGACAAAAGCAGTGAAACTTCAAAGGCTGACCAAATGTGCTGAGGTTTTATTTCCCCGGTCTGGAATGCCTGATTTTCCTCTCATTAGCACAGAAAAATAGCCAGCAGAGCATGATGTGTTGTCCGACTGTAGTGCTTATAGCGACTGATTTCTAACAGGGTTTTTAGGTGTGGATATGTAATTAATTTTTTTTTCTGTGTAGTGGTAGATAACAGACCTAAGTGAGGGGCTTTAAGAACGACTGGAGAGCTGAGAGCTCAACTGTATTCTAGAGCTCACTTTACTTACCAAGATGCAAAAGCCTGTGATTTAGTCCAGTGCTTAACTGGCTGTTTTTATACGAAGCATGCATAATAATAGAGGAAATTCTGTTCTTTGGTAAGCTCTGAGGAATAAGGTAAAGGAGTACCCGATGACGTGGTGTAAATATCCAAGTTGTTTTGCTGTTTCTAGCTTGCATTTTCCACTGTTCTCTACCAAAAGTTGAATTGCTGCATCTGTTACCATTTATATTTTGAAGTTTTCCCAGCGCTGTGGGATTGATTCAGGCATTTTTCAAGGAGTTATCAGAGACCACACAGAAGTCTCAACATTTTATTTGGGGAAAAAAGCGTATCTGTTTAAAATACATGAGATAATAATAAACCTAAATTAATTTAAAACTAATTAAGAACGAAAGTATATAATTTAAAAAGTAGATAAAAGATATAACCTTTGTAATGTGTTCTGGGTCTGAAGAGGTAAAGGACATTTATTTGATATAACCACCTGCCACGGCGTATCATGGCGCCTCACAGATCAAACTGTCCCGAGTGTTTTCTTCTGTGCTTTCCTAGACCTGCGCCTCCATAACTAGACTCTGATGCTAAAAAACTAAAGCATTTTCTGACCTCTGTTTCTAATAATATTATTGCTAAGGCTTGTCGTTTTGTAAAAGTCTTGCCAGAAAGCGCATAAAAAGAACCTTTGAAATATTTTTTGGGAGCAAAGGCTTTTTAGGTTCGTTTGAAGGAGGAGTGTATGGAGTCGAGACAAGAAGGCTGACCAAGCCACGCGGCCTTTAGCTGTTAAATTCAGTGCTCTCTTCTCTCAACATCTGATCCATAATCAAGCTCTTTATGTCAAATCCCTGGAATATATGCCTTGACGTTCGGGAATCAAGTAACATGGTAAGCTGCATGAAGTTCTGTGTGATGAGTTCTCAACTCAAGCGCTGTGAGCCCCCCAGCACCTCCTTTTCCAAACAAAACAAGGTGGTTCTGCCTTGGTAAACCAGTGAGTTTATTAGATTGGAGAGCACACGTGCGGGATCCCCCAGGCCACTCTCAGGGACACCTGAAGGAGGCGAATGTTTGTGTCCCTGGACAGATTATGGACAGCTATTTTGGTGAAGTAGAAGCTCGGGTTTGCGACTTATTTGCAATTACTTGCAATGAAGGAACTTCAAGTACTCTCCTATTATGTCAGACGTAATGGAGGAAGCAAACAAGCCGGACAGGAGCTAACAAGTCAACAAAGAAACTTCAGAGACAGCTCTTGCCTCACGCAAGAGAAAAAATGAACTTCCATACCCTCTTGTCATGGTGCTTTAGACTTGGGGCGCTCTCAGAACTGCTGCCAGCCAGGCTGACAAAGCAATCATCCCACAGAAATCTGCAGCTGACTGTCTTAAGTCGGGAAATCAGCACCGTATTTAGTTCTTTCTCTAGGAAAGGCCGTTTTGGTTGTTGTTGAAGGCACCCTGGAAGTTTTCATGTCATTTTAACTTTTGTCTCTACCAATATTTCATTTCTGGTTTGCAAACCTTTTCTCTTCGCTTTTTTTTTCCCCCTTGTCCTGTTTCACCATGTCTGAAGAGTTTGTACTTTTTTCTGTCAAATGTTCTTTCACTCTAAGAAACATCTCCTCCTGAGACACGTCTTGTTAAAGAGTAAGATGCCCTAGGAATGACTGGAAAAAGTTATTTTGAGAAGATTATTAAGCAGGGAAAGTTTGGGGAAAGTAATTTCTACATACAAAGAACAATACTAAAATATTATTTGGAGTAATGTCACCATTTGTGCTGGTTTTCTCTGCTACCATTTACCGTTGACTAAAATAGGAAGAAGCAGCTGAACTTTTCTGGGGGAGACGGTCAGGTAAACAGTGTAACTTCAAGACTTTGTGCATAAAGGTTTTTAATTTTATCCAATTCATGAAAAATTTACTGCGCTTACTTGCTTCGTGAGTAGGTGTAGCCGGTGTTTAAAAGTGATTTAATGAATTCAGTGCTTGTCTTTTAAAAACATTAGCTGAAAATAGAAGGAAAATGTTACTGTATCTGCCACAGAGAAATATGTCATTACATTTTTTTTTTTCTCCCTTTTAAGGGTCAGAAGGCTTGGATAGAGAAGACCTTTTCAAAAAGAGAATGCATCTATGTAATTGCCAACAACAAAGACGTTAGCAGGTAACATTTGAAAGTTTTATTCTGGCCAGCAGGAAAACTTAATACTGAAGAAACTGGGCTTGATTTGGATTTGGACATGTGAAACTTAGACCCGGTTTATTCACTGCCCTTAAAGGGAGATGACAGGGGAACAAAAGCACGAGACATGCTTGCGTTCAAATCTGCGCGGAGCCATGGGATGTGTCCTACAGAGAGGAGAAGGCTGGGCAGCAGGAGAGGCAATGGGTTGTTAGTTCCCAGCTTTGCAAACCGGAGCATAAATTCATACGACATTCTGAAAGCAAGGGTGCGATAATGTGTCACCTCTGAGTAAGAAACAGATGGTCACTGCTCCTGTCCTGCATTCTTCCTCCTTTAGCCCAGAACAGCTTTGCAGTGTGTCACGGGAGGGAGGTGAAATTTATCTTTGTTTGTTAAGAACCACCTGTGGACTGGTAATTCTGGCATACGTACGCAAATGCAACAGATGACCTAGAAAAGGTGTTTCTGTGACTCCTAGCACAAGGCACAGCTAGTTGAAAATTTCTGATTTTTATATTTTTTTTATTATTTTTTAATCATCCAGCCTTGAAGATACTGTAATCAAAGTCACTTCAAATTTTAACTTACAGGTGCTGCTGTGGCCAGCTCATTAACCAGCATATTCCACCTCCTCCGAGTATAACAGCCAATAAAAATGGAGAAGAAACAAAGCAAGTGGAAGCTCAGCCGGAGAAATGGTCCATCAGTAAACACACCCAAACCTACCCAACTGATGCCTATGGAAACCTTGAATTCCAGGGAGGAGGACATTCAAATAAGGCCATGGTAAGAGCATAGGCTACTCCAGGATATTCCTTTGGTGTGTTAGTGTCAGGATTCCAGCTCAGGGCATAGTCCCTTGAAATCAAAGAGGCCTCTTTGCCGTCTCACACAGGTGTGGACAAGATGCTCAAAAAGAGAAAACCGATACCTATTTAGGAAGCACCTTATAATGGCTTGATGAAAGAGTTTCACAAGTTAGTGTCGGCTAAGGAGGCAGCTGCATGTATTGCTGCTCAAGATTCCATCTGTTTCTATTAGATTTGTGAGCCACATAACCCAGCATAGGTACAAATCTTTTTCTGTGGTTCAAAGTCTAATAAAAATACAAATTATTTTAGAAAATAATTCCTGAAAGACAGAAGCCTGACTGAGCTGTGGACTGTTTAGTTTTCTTAGCAGCAGAAGTAACAACAAGTCACGCTTCTGCAAAAAATGTCTTTCTGGTTTGCCTCTTCTCTGAAGAAATCCAAACCTTGATTTGTTTCTTTGCCCATTTGCTTTCTTATTTCTCTGCCACTCGAAACAGCCGCGCTGCAAAAGCTTACCCAAAATGTATGGGGCTAGTTGGTGTGGTTTGTTACTGGTGGTTTGTTTTTAAAACAGAAATAAACACGGCATTATGTTATAGTTCCCTTTGACAGTAGGCGGTTGAAAAGAAATCACGGTGGTGGAACTAAACTGAGAAGAACACAAATCATTGCTTTGGATGCAGAAATACGTACATTAATAGTGAATGGGCTAAAATGGTACCATTAGGAAAGCTGTTGCTTCTCTTTGGCAGTCAAACTAGACGTTTTAAGAACAATACAAAACGCCTTCCAGGCATTTTAATAGGTGGCTTCCAACAATGGGGAATTGTAATAAGAGTTTAGAATCACTTGATTGCAGTCGGCTTTGCAGGTGAAGGATGGAGAGCGGTGCTTTTAAAATTCATGAAGGGGATGGTAAATTCTCAGTAGAAAAGTAAAAGGTTTCAGCCTGTTCTTTTCTAATCTTAGGCAGCAGAGAAATTTAGCAAAATGTTGCTTAAAAGTTGTAAAATTTTATTCAGGACGGAAGGCTTAGTGTAACTGTTCTTCTGCTCACTCAATATCAATGTACGGGGCTGGTGGAGTGATAATATTACACATTGCTCTTGGCAGTATATCCGTGTGTCGTACGACACGAAACCAGATGCTCTGCTGCATCTCATGGTGAAAGACTGGCAACTGGAACTGCCCAAACTCTTAATCTCTGTCCATGGAGGCCTCCAGAACTTTGAAATGCAACCTAAATTAAAGCAAGTATTTGGGAAAGGTCTGATAAAGGCTGCCATGACCACGGGAGCTTGGATTTTCACTGGGGGTGTTAGTACAGGTAAGCAATTACCAGCACTTCTAGTTTACTTAAGAATTCAGTGCTGTTCATTCACTAATCTTTCCCACAGGCAGAAGATTTAAGTCTACATGAATGAATCATTAGCCACTAGACCAAAAAAAGAGCATTGTAATCATTCCTGTTAATCTCTTGCCCAGCCCAGACCATAAGATTTTCCTGGGTCGGTATCATTTTGCATTACTCTGTGTTTCCCCTGAAAACAATTTTCACTCTTAGTTTCGGTAGCAAGGAATCTGCCAGTAGTTATAATAACTTTTTTTCAGTGGTTGGTTAACCTCATAGTGCAAATTTGCCTGGCTTTAGCTGCTTACTGTTTGTTGAAGGGTTTTTTTGGACAAAGATCCTTCTGTTACTAAAAGTGTATTTCCTGAGCGTGTTTTCATACACAGTGCTTTTGTGAAACTGCATGGGCTGCATTCCAGTAAAACTCTTATACTAAGTATATTTTCCATTTCTTCAGTCATTATCACACCTCTGCTTTGAACTCTCTCTGATTTTTTTAACAGCCCTCTTGAATTTTGGATGCTTAATTTTTGAGACAGTACTTGATGAACCTTTGCTTTTCTGCTTCCATTTTACGCTTCCCTGTTCATGCAGCCAAGGACCAAGTTGGCCTTTAGGCTGTGTGATGTTCCTGAGAGTTAATAACCAGCTGATAATCCATCTTAAATGCCATGTCCCAGAGTCACTGTCTCCGTGGGATCACCTCCAACTCATGCACACGCTGTCTTGTAATTATATAAAGTATTTGTTCTTAAAGGAAAGATCGTAAATTAACAATCTCGAAACACGAACCTGAGGCCAGTGGTAAATGTCTCTGCCTGATGACATTGTGATCTCCCGTTTGCATTTTCCTCCCATCTTCTTGCCACCTGAAACAGTTTGGTTTCTGTGTTTTCCTTTTTGGCCCTATCTGAAACATCGGTTGTACCAGCAGCTCCGCAGGACTCCACCAGGAGGGTTTGGGCGCTGTTCCTGGGTTCTTCAAAGAAATGGTGCCTGATAGCCTGTCCAAAATTTGAAAGGCACGTTGAAAAATAGCTGTTTTGATGATTCCCCTTTTATTGTTTTGAGACCAATTGGTCTCTAATTAATTTCACTGAAGATCAGAATTTATTTTAACATATAAAAAATCAGATGCAAACTTCCATTGTAATACTTCTATAACAATATCCTTGTTTAGCTGAAATAAGTCTTTACATCAAGGTACTTCTCAGAAAACTATGTAAGATAAGTTTTGCTGACAACGAAGGTCTAATGTCTTTAAGGGGAGTTGATGATTGCTGTTCAGAATGAATTTTAAGGGAAAAAGTGTATCTTAGATAACTATAATGAATTTTAAGGGAAATAGTATATCTTAGATAACTATAAGGCTGGGGATTTTTTGGTTGCTCAGCCCTCAGTGATAGCATTTCACGGACAACGAACAATGTAATTCTGGACAATGGTACAGATTACACTGCGGCAGGTTCGAGAACTGGGCAAGTCTTTCAAAGAACAAAGATATGAAAAGGCAAAATTACAAAATAAAAGCATGAGTTTGTCTGTATCTGGAGATACCAGCTGAGTAGTGAGAGCAATCCCGCAAAGCAGGTAGCTCGGTGAGAGGCAAGAAGAAAATGCTGTTGTGTAGTGATTTCTCAGAAGTGCCAAGAACGAATTCAATTAATTGTACCTACAGGTGTCATTCGTCATGTGGGAGATGCCTTGAAAGATCATTCTTCCAAATCCAGAGGACGGATATGTGCCATAGGAATCGCACCGTGGGGCATTGTAGAAAACAAGGAAGATCTGATAGGAAAAGACGTAAGTCGTTAAGCAAACTCCTGTGTAATTAGCAGTGTCAGCTGTGCAACAAAATCCACTGTTCATCTTTCCGGAGTATTTTCACTGTTCCTAACGCATGCCTAGGAGCTGAAATTTAACGATTTCTTGAAGAAAAGCCGCTGTTTAGATGTATCCGTCAGGTTATCATGTCTGACCTCAAAGTAAATACAGAGGAAAGGAGGTGTCCATTGCCACCTCTCTGTGGTGACAGAGGTTTAGCTCCTAACTTCAGTATGGCACGCTGAGACTTCTGTAAACCGTGTAAGAGCCTTTACGTGGCATTTACTGTGAAGGGGTACTCTGCAGCGGTATATTAATTACTAGGAACTCCAAATGAAACTGTGTTTTCAAATGCAGTAAGAGGATTATGAAACACAGTGTGTGATCAAGGAGAGTGCATTTATGAGCTTAGGGGAACACGCAGGAGAGTGCACAGATGTGACTGTCATCCTCCAAAGAAAACGCTGCCTGTTCACGAGTTCAGGTTTTGAATGTAAAAGCGAGCTCCATTTCCAACTCTCCTCTGGTTTGGGTTGTAAAGACGGGGTTAATTTTAAAGGCACGTGCTTCTGTTGGGCGGTGTGGAGGATTTTCACGTTTCGTTCTTCGTTCTAACCTAGGCGCATCTGTCCTTTTGACACACAGGTAACACGAGTTTATCAAACCATGTCAAACCCTCTAAGTAAGCTCTCTGTGCTCAACAGTTCGCACACGCACTTCATTCTGGCAGACAACGGGACGCTAGGTAAATACGGAGCTGAGGTCAAGTTACGACGTCAGTTGGAAAAACACATTTCCCTCCAGAAGATTAACACTCGTAAGTACGGTGGGGCAAACCCGAAACGTTTGAAGGGAGAGAGGGGAGGAGGGCTTGAAATGCTTCGAGATGTTGAAACTCAATGCTTCTTCCAGCTCTTTCTAGCAGGAATTTGATCAGGACTGTGTGACTAAACTAGAACATGCCCTCTGATAAGGGGTGAGAGAGCCCACAGCTAACAGCACGGAAAACTCAGAAAAGTAAGGATTGCACAAAGGGAGGAGGAAAAGTTCATGAGAAATAGTGAGGAGAAGTTTCAAAGCAGTAAGAATTTAAGGAAAGGGAAACGTAAAGAATTTATGCACTTCTAGCTAGAATTCGTAAGCACCAGTAAGTACACGGAATGATTCGTACAGTTCCTCTCTACAGGAATCCTGTGCAGCTCAGTGGTTTCTGCTTCCAAATGTTCATACTGACATTTTATTTTCTCTTGTATATGAATTCGTTTCATTTGAAATGTCACACTCGAGATTCTTTGATCTTCCAGATAAACTCAGCTGAGACTTTGATCAACGAAGCCATTACCAAGATAATTTCACATCAGTGCCTTCATATTAATTATAAAATTCCTAACATTTGTTACAGCCTCTCTAAAACAACTTCCTAGAATTCTTTTGGTCATTACTTGGAATAAAATTCTTTTAAAAGACATTGCTTCCTTAATGTTTTGTGGAAGACATATGATTTTTTTAAAGATTAAATAAATAAAAAAAAATGGAAGCTGTGGTTTTTCAGCAACTGTGAAAAAAACAAACCCACAACAGCATCTAATTAAAAATGGTCCAAACCCAGTCTTTGAATCCACACCTAAATTAAGAGCTACTGAGGAATAGGCATCAGTACTAGCTGTTACCCTTCTGACTTGTTGCAGATACAGTTGTAACCTGTAAACCTATAACCTGTAACCTATGAAAAAGCAAAGAACGACATTCTGGGTGGCGATTGCGTTGAACTCTGCAGAAGTTTCTCACAGGATTTAAGTGCTTTCACGGGTAGAGCAGAAGAATGAGGCCGAGTGTCAGGTAGAGCCGAAAGGCACAGTTAGAGCTCAGCCTCGGGACATCTGACCGTTCTGGGAAGGCTTTTGGTGCTGTTTTTTGCCCACGGTAAGCTTAAGAAGCCGAACTGACAGAAACAGTGCCCCTTGCCTTTGAGCGCTGAGCCGGTGTCGCGCACCGTTGCCCGCAGACATTAGAAAGAGCTAACGTTAGCTGTGCTTTTTTTCCTTTGTCTTCCGCAGAAGTGCTGGGAGTGTGGTAACACTGTAAAAGGGAGCACTGGCTTGGAAGATAAGGAGGTCAGGGCCCAGAGGCAAGATGTTCTGTGTCCTTTCTTTTAATACCACTGGGGCTGGGGATATTGGTTCTGACTGAAGCAGCATTTGGTGATTTTTGTTGTGAGAAGGGCAAGTTTGGAATACGGATAGGAGTCAAGAGTTTTGTGAAGAGCTGCAGTACACCTACGAGTAACAACGTACAGGGAGTTGTTCTGTTTCTTTTCAATCACTTCAAGCACAGGCACCTCTTCTGTTCACTCAGGATTTCATGGAGACACAGGCCAGCCCGTGCTCTGTGACTCCTTCTCAGAGCTGGGTTATACTGACAGGAGGATGTCAGGAAGCTTCTGCTGTTGTTGTGCGTGGTGTTCCTGTTCTTCAGAGAGGAATGAAGGTTGAAAATATGAACTTTTTCATGCATTCTCAGCTGTATAAAAAAGTGCATCTTTATAAAGCGCTGGTCATTTTTACAGGTTAAGAACTGAACTCAAATGCTTATTGTAGTGGGATTAGTCAGCCTTCGGGTAATGTTTTGTCCTTCATTTCCCCGAGTACCTTGTGACCAAGGCTACCGAGACCATGTGACCTGTGGGCTTCCCTTTGTCATCCTATGCCTGGAGATCACAGTGAGGCAGGGACAGCAAAGGGATGCTCAGCTGTCGTCTCTTCCATCGGCCAGCCATTTCAGCCTCGTGATAAAGACACTAATTTCATCTTTTTTGATCTTAGGAGAAAGCATAGGTATATGTCACCTCACTGAAGACTTGCTGTGGGTGACCAGTGAAGACTTAAAGCATCAAAGACACAGTTGAGAGCCAGCCAAGTAACAGTGAAGCTAAGGAAGTAGTAGGATGCTCACATTTTTGTCTGTACATGCTGTTTGTCAAAAGAGACTACAAAGAGTTCACCGACACTAAGTGACCAAATGATCAGTGTGGAGCTGATACGAAAGCAAAGGCAGAGAGACATCTTACTCCTTTGCTTTTGGGGCTATGAAATGGCGTATGGACATGTTCCCTCGTGTTGGCCATGAAATGTTCATCGTTTTTCCTAACTGCTTTGGTTCGAGGTGATGCTGTAACACAGAAATCGCATCCACTTATCGTATCTCAACCTCTTCAACTAAGTTTCAGTGACACTTCTGCTCTTCTGTGTTTTGCAGGGCTGGGACAAGGTGTTCCTGTAGTTGGGCTCATAGTGGAAGGGGGTCCCAACGTGATCTCCATCGTCTTAGAGTGTCTCCGAGAAGAGCCCCCTCTCCCTGTCGTGATATGTGATGGTAGTGGACGAGCATCAGATATTCTATCGTTTGCACACAAGTATTCAGAAGAAGGAGGGTAAGAGTTTGAGATCTTCACCAAAGCTGTGTCTTGCTCGGGAGGACGATGTAGGACTACTTACCTTTGCTTTCATTAAAACTTCAGGAAAAAAAGACCTCAGGGACGGAATGCTCCTAACAGAGGTGTTCTGCCATCAGTCAGTTTTTGTTGCTTCTTAGCCCTGGAGGTAATCAGTAAAAATTGTTCCCCCTTGGAAAGTGTTGGATGGTCCACTGAAATCAGCCTGCACCCAGCGCAGCACGCTGTCGTACAAGCGCCATCGAAGTTCGCTGCACTGTACTTGGTGCTGGCTTGGGCGTGTTAGAAACAAAGAACAAGTGGTTCCCAGGGCTGAGCTTGATTAGCGCATGTATTTGCAAAACTGGTACTGCCTAATCTTAGCGTGTTGTGTGCATGAGCTTCATTCTCGAAGAGTGCCGAACCAGCGGAAAAAATGTTGGGCTTCCTTCCATTCTCTTGCTGTTTTTTGCATCTGTGATGGTTCTTCAGGGCAGTGCTGCCTGATGTCCTGAGTGGAGTTGAGGATGTTGTCTAGAGCATTCTGTTCCAGAACCCTCTGTTCCATTATAAAAATCACTTCTAATCCAAAATTTTCTGGAATCTGCTATTTTTCTGGTCAGACCCTTTGGTTGACAGAAAGTGTCGTTACTTTAGAGAAGATACAAAACCTGTGCTGGCAGCATAAGCTCATCTGCTCTGCTGAGTGAAAGGTCTGTCCTGACAAATACTCTGAGTGGAAGCAGAATATTGCATTTTTAATTTAAAATATTGCTTCTCCCAGTCATGTAACATACATTCCCCATTGTCATTGTTAATATCAGGATTTTATCTTTAGTACCCAGATTCAGACAAAAACCTAGTACGTTGTCTTTTTTAGGCTGTGGTACACCTGGCTTGCACTGAAGGCTGTTTTCTTGACTGGAGCTCAGCTCTCTGAAGCTCAGCTTGGAATAAATATTAAGCGGACAATGAGTATCATCAAGCAGTGCAGATGTTAGTTGCTGAATTGGGAGAGCAGCCTTGATGCTGGGAGGTTTTTGATGTTTACACATAGTACATATCTAATCCTACTAACAGCACTTACAGTTCAGCATATTGCTTTTCCTCTCTGTCAACCAAGCCTCCTTAGGTTGGATCAAACTTGCCTTCGTTGTATGGGGTTTTTTGTTTGTTATATTATTTTTTTGTTTATGCTTCCCGTCAGCTCACAGGTAATTGAAAGAGCTTAGCAGGATCCATCTGCCTGAGATCTGCTCACTGCCTGGCTTTCTCTCCCAGTGCATGTGATGCAGCGTCCAATTTTCTTCTCCAATAATTATGATGACATAAATGTGTTCATCTGGTAAGGCAGGTCTGCAATGAGAATTTTTTGCCAGCTCCGCTGTCTGAAAGAATCATTTTCTCAGGATGATCTTTGAATTTTACTGCACTTCGCAAGCCCAGCTGTCCCACTGCTTTGAATGCCTGCTGGTCATTTTTGCCATCATCTGAAAATACATGGGTTTTGTTGGGAAATGCATAAGAATTGAAGGTCTCCATTTCAGATTGCTTTGAGAGATCAAACATTTCTGACCTTTCCAGATTGTTTTGGTAGGGTCCTCTAAGGTGTGCTGCTGAAATCCTGAAGACTGAACTTCTTTACAAAAGTATGTAGCAGGAGTAACATCTGCCTCCATTACATTCTCGAGTAAAAGGATAGCTCACGTTCCCTGCCAGTTCTAAATCAGTGCTGAGGTACTGAGATATGTAAGAGCCAGTCTGGGCATGAATTTCCTCATTACTGGTAACTCTTCATGAACTCCTTACCTGTGCTGAATGCAAAGATGCTGTGTATTTTCATTTATTTTCAAGATGAAGTCGTTGCACTCGTGGAAGAAAAGTTGTTTCTCAAGCAGCAGACTTTCTGAATTTATAATAATTCTGACAATGTCTTCTTTTACGTCTCACTTTTAATTTAGGATAATAAGCGAATCCCTTAGGGACCAGCTTCTAGTTACCATCCAGAAAACCTTTAACTACAACAGGAATCAAGCTCATCAGCTGTTCGCCATTCTTATGGAGTGCATGAAAAAAAAAGAACTTGTAAGTGTCCTAAAAGTAGTTCACAAATGTCATTTCTGTGAACAAACTTTATACAAGTACCATTAGCCCAGGGTTTTCCTTTTTCCCCATAAAATCCCTTAGGTGTACACATTTGTTTGTAAGCATAAGCCAGGAAAGAGATTTTGTCTTCCGCAAAGCCTCTGAAACCAGTTTCAGATTCTTCTGATTCGGCAAGATAAAGACACTGTGATAAATGCACTGAAACCAGGATTAGCTGCAGAAAGCAGAGGAAAGAGAATTGAAGAAGGAGTTCCTAGGAGCAATGAGCGTTCAGAGTGCATCAGGACAGTTTGGGTCTACTGATATAATCAGTTTTTAACCGCCTTTGGTTCCAGTAGAATGGACTATTCAGGTCTTTCAAAAGAAACTGAAAGATGAAGTGGTTTTGAAGATCCTGGCTTGTTGCTGGCCTCTTCTCTGTACTGCACCACTTGGGTTCCTTCCTGCCTGCCATATCCCAGCCCCAGAGAAAAGAAAAGAGTGCTCAAGCAATGAAAATCTGTAACATTCACATCTGTCCTCAGTGAACAGTGTCTTGAAATTGTGTTCACTGCGGCTCTGCAGGCAAAATGAATCGTGGTGTGTTTTCCTCTGACTAGTTGTCTTAGTGGATTTTTGTAAATAAGTATCTCCCTTGAGTTCTGGTGTAATTCCATTTCATTCTTTCATACAAATCCCAAGCAGCTGCTTTAACAGCAGATGAACAGTCTGATGGATTTTTTCTGGGTTTTTTGAATTAGAACTGGAACTTGTACGGCTGATGGGTTTTTTTTGTATTTTTTTTGCCAAAATTACGTATTTTTATTAGATAGAAATGAGACAACTACCACAGACTTCTTCTCAAAGTGTGTGTAGGG